TTAAGCACATAGCATGCAACCGTTCACAAAAATAACATACATGTAAAATATATCATAACATGTATGTAACTGAAATATCATGCATACGTACCCATTATCAACGATTCATATCATACTAAAATAAATTTGTAGTTAGATATGCATCCCAGTGAAATCTCATGAAAACTCACTCGACAATGTAGGTTGCTTAACGAAAGTCGCTGGTTGGTAAACTACAATTTACAATATCGAATAATGCATTAATGATTAACTTCTCCAAAAGCCAACATAAAAGTCAATCTATGGTCAACTATGTCGACTACAATCAACCTTGGTTCACTATGCTTAAGAACGCTCCTCACGTCAATTAAAATTATAGAAACTGTCAGTTCCGACATAAAGTGTCTCATCAACCTATAGATCTTAAAACGGCTTCATAAACGTGATTATTAAGTTATCTATTATATAATAGATAAGTTAATAATTACGTATTTCGAGTTAAAGAGTTCTAATAAATTTATAAACCGAGTAACGCCTCTCATGGTCAATTAATTATTTTATGACTCCATAAAATTATTTCTTGTAAATAAAGTGTTCAAAAAAGAAATATATACATATATATATATATATATATATAACTCAAGTGGTATGCTTTTAATATCATTAGCAAAAGTCATCTATTTATCTCCAAATAATTAAATAGTTACAGTAGTAAATCCAACCTTAATGGTATTTTTATAAAACAAAATGATTATGTATTGCTCAAAATACACTCTTTAATTTTAGGGGAGTTTTGGTAATTTTATAAAATGAAATAATAATAAAAAGTTAAAATTTGCATATCTAAAATTTTCAAGGAAACTTTCTTGATTTAAGAAAGTTATAGATGTTAAATCTAATTTTCTAGACTCTAAGGGTTATAATAGAAATTTATTAAGGCAATTAGTTAATTACTAAATATATAAACTTTCTAATCCTAATATATACTATATTTTAAAGCATTTAACAAAAACACTTAAAAACCATTTTTTTGTGCATTAGGTAGTGTTTATTGATACATATTACTTAAAATTTAAGACGAAAATACAAATTATTAAAACTTCATTTTTGAATTCGTGTAAATAACTGCAAATAAATATAATCAAATACAGGATAAACCTCTTATTTTAAATATAAAAAATCTAAAATATAATTATGATAATCATTGAGTTTCAACAGAATCATTAAAAACTCTTAAAAGCCATTTTTATGCATTAAGTATTGTTTATTGATGCATATTACTTAAAAATTTTATGTTAACAAGTAAACTATGCGTATGTACAACTTATTAAAGCTTCATTTTTGAATTTGTGTATCTAACTGCAGATAAATATAATCAAATACATGATAAACTTCTCATTTTAAATATAAAAAATCTAAAATATAATTAGAATAATCATTGAGTTTTAACAGAATCATTATTTTTATAAAAATTATATTGTCAAGTCAAAAATAAATTTCTTCGTTATTATACTTGAATTAAATTATAATAAAAAATTAAATTAAAGAAATTATATAAAAAATGAAAACTTTTAAATAGTTAATTTGATATTATATCGACATATTTTTTTCAATTTTTATTATGTCTCAAAATTTATTATTATTCAAAAGTAAAAAGATTATCATTCTCAAAACCACATAAACCATATTATATAGACAAAGATAAAGAATAAAATGAAATATTAAAATCAGGATGTATCTCGTTTTATTACGCGAGTACCCTTTTAGTTAGCATAAAGTAACTTGGTAATCGGGTTGGTCAAGACGTGCCCCAACCAAGTTGAGGTCACGGGTTCGAACCTGTTCCCTAGTAGAATCCTATTTTAAATTTTGATGGCTCGGCTCCATTGATTTTATGGGTTGGATTTGGGCCCAACCCGACCTGATCGCAACCCAGAAAACAGCAGCTCCATGGCTACACGCTTTTGTGGTTTTTGAGCTCAAAATTGACTCATTTTTCGATCATTTTTCTTCATTTTTTTGTACCAAAACCTTGATAATATTTTTACCAACATTTTTGACATAACAAACCCAGTTTTTCGTGAAGAAATGAGTTCTATTTTCTTACTCAACTTTTTAGTTTTAAACTACACCGATCGAAACTTTAAACCTCAAAATCGAACCATAAAACACGAAATCTGAAACATAAGACTACTAAGGTTCCATAGAGGACTTAAAAATGAATATAACCATATAAAGAACATGAATTTAGTCGAACATTTTACCTCTAATAACCGAAAAACAGTGCTTTTTGACTACGAACTTCGACCTCAGATTTTTTCTTTCCAAACTCGACGAAACTTTGGTTTTATTGAACCAAAAATGTAGAGGAGGACGTTGGCCATTTAACTTTATAACTTTTGTGTTAGTTGACTAAGCAAGCCAATAAGAGACCTCAAAGCTCAACATCATTCCATGTCTTTCAAATTTCAGAATCTGACATATTTACAAAACAGATTTTTATGGTTTGGACCTGTTAACATCTCACACAACTCTATAACTATCAAGAAATTACATTTGGCCCCCTGGCTTCAATGTTTTGGCCAAATTTACACTTCTCATCCATATTTTGAGTTTTTTTTTTCTTTTTTGTTAGTCCGATTTTCAAAATTCTTTTAATTTCTTAATTTATTTAATATATATATATATTATAATCCAAAAATGGAAAGAATAATAATAAAAATAAAAATTATTTATTCATCGAAATTTTTGGGTTTTACAATGAGACAAGGGTTAACCTTAGGATCGCCATTTTGTAAATGTGATCGAAGGTACTCTTATATTGTGTGATGGTTCATAGAAACTGGTGACAGTACACATTTTCTTTAATTCTGGTCCATTTGGCTTCACCATCTTAACTAAATGTAACATTCATACAATATAAAAGTATTTTTACCACTTATGTTTCTCATCAAAATATTTTTTTCTCAAATATATAATCTTGACCTATTTAGTGAAAAATGTAAATCTTCAAATAATACGATATAAGTCTTATATTATGTGAATTGAAGGCATGTGTAAATTTTGAATACCCATTTTATGTCCAATATCTACAAGTTATGATATAGTAGAAGCGTACTCGTGCAATGCAGTGAGATACATCGTAATTTTAATATTTCATTTTAGTCTTTATCTCAGTCGATGTTATAATATGGCTTTATGTGATTTTGAGAAAGCGATGATGTTTTTATTTTTGAATAAAATATATGTTTGAAGATATCATAAAAATTTGACAAAAATATATCGATATTAG